GGGTGACACGCGTGTTCCGCACCTTCAACGTGGAGAACCGCGCCCGCCGCGAGATCAGCAAGGAGAAGCCCACGCCCGCGCCGCGACACCCCACGGCGCGCCTTGACGCGCTGGCCAGTGAGTTCCCCCCCTCCTCCCCAAGCCCGCGGGAGGCGCGGCAGGGCGGCGAGCGGCCTCCAGGCGCGGAGAGAGCGGGCGGCGCTGCGTGGGCGGCCGCGATCGCGTTGCGCGTGGGCGGGCGGCGGGAGCGGGGCACGGGGCCGCGGGTGACATTGAGAGCGGCGCGGGCGCGCGCGGGGCACGCCGGGAAGGCGCGGTGGGCGGGGCGGTTGCCGCGGCGGTTGCTAGGGGCAACCGTGGCGGTTGGGCCGTTGGCCGCGTTTTCTGTGTAACCGTTGGGACTGTTTCGTGAACGGTTTTCTTGTCGCTGACGGCGGTTCCTGACCACGCTTGCGTTTAGATCGCCCAGAAATACAGGAGGAAATCTACAGAAAGGACGACAGGCTCCTCACTCTGCTAAAGGATGTTTATGTCGAGTCTAGAGACCCCCCTAAGCAGGTGAGTCCGGCCGCAGGAGCGAGCATTCACTTTGTGGTCCTCAAACTCAACGCAGATTCTACCTAGGGGGCAGACTTTTCAAGGGAAATACTCCATTAGTACCTAAAACCAATTGCATTTTTTATAGATATGGCTGTTGTTTTTAATGCTCTCCTGTATATCAGTAGGATTGACTGTATTTGATCCTAGGTGTTCTTGAACATATCACAGATTCTGGTAGTGTCACCTTTCAAATGCTTACATGTAATTTTTTTCTTTTTAACCTCACAATGTCATTTATTTATTTATTATTTTCACTTAAGTTAGCAATTCTGTATCCTGAAAGGCAGAATGGCTAATCAGCCAGTCTTACGGAAGAAACACACAAGATTTTGTCAGAGATCTCTCATAACCTTGCTAGAACTGAGGAGACTGAAACAAACACAAAAGCATGAATTTGTTAGAGGATGATGACATAAGCATCAGTAGCTAACATACTCCGCCAGAATGTTCATGTAAGGCTACACAGAGCCTTTTCCTTATGTGGCTGAGGTCGAGCTTTAGAGAAATTTTTGTTTATAACCTCTGGGACAGTTTGTAGATCAGTTTCCTTGTCACTAATGGCTGCAGTCTGTCATGGAAGGCAAGGCAGACTCCTTCCGGTAGTGCATAGGCTGAGATTCAGTCTCCTCTCTTACACCAAGTTTTGGTATATATTGCGGGTTTTTTTTACCTGCTGCATTACTCGACTTTTTATTCCACCTCCTTCATGTGGTAATAAAAGTTAGATGATCATTTACCAACAAAACTCTCAAGTTGCTCTGATTTACCACTTCTGTAGTGCTTTCCGTTCAAGATTAAAAGTATCTTTGATATAAATGGATTTCTAAGGTTTCTGCCTGAAGTATCCAAGTAATCTTTATCATTATTTTCTTAAGAGATTAAGACTCTAACCTTGAACTGCTGAAGATTTCAGTGTCTTTGGCCTGATTTCAGATCTTTATATGCTTCCAGGCTGTTAAGAGAGGAGATTTGAGGAAAGCCAAAAGCAGAATAGATCCCCTAGTGTTTGACAAAGTTGTTAAATGAAAACATAGTTGTTAAATGAAAACATATCCTCTCAGTCTTAAACTAGCAAGATATCTAGAGCTGGCTCATTTTATTAAGAGGCTAAAGTTTGTCACCTTAACATCATATTAGGATTATTTAGAAAAGGGGAAAATCAGTAACATTACCAAATGTTTTTGTTAATTTAGAAGCAGCATGGATACTGAAGAATGTTGTTGGTTTATGGGTTAATACAGAGTGACTGAGGGCTAATCCATGGCGATAGCCTATGAAAACTTTAAAATTAGTGCTCTGAGGTCTGAAGTTTTTCACTGCATTTTTTCTGCAATGACATTTACTGGTAAAGTCCTAATGAATACAGGGAAGACACAGACAGTTTTGAAAATTCTTGGAAAAGGAAATATGAAAGGGTTTGGGACAAGAGACTTTGCATGTGTAAACACTGGCAATCATGGGAATCAAGCTGTATATGGAGCTGCAAAATAGCCTTTTTTATTTTTTAATCTAACAGAGCTTATGCTCTAAGATGTACATATGAAAGAAAGGGAAGGAGAGAAAGAATATATGAAAGGGCGACTGTTGGTACTAGAAGAAAAATACTGATTTGCAGCATGATGCCCCCACCATGAATCATCAATCAACACATGAAGTGTTCTATCACCTGTGTTTATGTTTCAATACCAAAATCCACAGTGTGACCTGTGCAGGGCTGTTTAGTATGTACAATACTTAGTGTTTAATGGATGCTTGACTTTTACACATCTGAGTGGAGATTTGGCCCTGTACGTAGAGTTATTGCAATAACTGAATAATTTTGGTGGCATCAACAAGTGCAGCAGATAAAGCATCCTTTCTTGAATGCTGTGAAAATAAAGAAAAGAGGTATTTGAGAAAACAAGTTGACTTTTACAGTGTGCAGAGTGAACAGAACTGCTGTTAAGCTCTTGTTTTCCTTCCCACAATTAGGTAAAAGATCAAGGTGTTGAATCTCTTCCGTGCAAACATGAGGAAAAGAGACTTACAAAACTAGGCCATTTGGAGGCTCTTGATGTTAAGAAGGTTCCCAAAGGCAAAATTTCCATTGTGGAGGCTCTGACGCTTCTCAACAATCACAAACTTCATCCTCATATATGGACTGCAGAGAAGATAGCACAGGAATATAGTCTGGAACTGAAGGAGGTCAAGTCTCTTCTGGAATTCTTCATTCCCTTTTCTGTGCAGGAATTTCCTACTGAAAACAGAAAAGCTATAAAACCAACATAAAAATAATTATCAAAACCATGCAAGATCTCACTCGTGTTTTAACTTCACTCTGAACATATTCGTTGTCTGAAAAGAATTACTAATATCATCCAACAAGGTTGTCATACCGGTAGGATGTATTTGGGCAGTTCATTCTGACTTCAGCCAAACGCAGCAAGTATTGGAGGTAGTTTGTAAACCAGAATGTATTGTCAGTGAGATCATCAGAGAGTCATGTGGCACCATGAACCTGCTGTCACATGCAGGTTCACTTAAAATATGTCAGTTCTGGTCGGAGCTCTCTCTAAGATGGGCGGGTTTTCTTAACAGAGAGACTTTCTGGCCTTCAGCCAAAGCAGTGTTCTGTGTGTACCAGCTCTGTAGTTTCATGTTATGGTCCATATTGAAGGACTTGTTGCCAAGATGTATGTATAACAATATTATATATTTCCTCTGTATGAAAACAGAATAGTAATTATAATTTGCAAAGAATAATGATGGAGAGACTCCTAAAAATTCAGCTGTATCAAAAACTTAAAATTAATGGCAAGACCTTTCTGATGCCAGAAGAGCAATGACTGATGTAGCTTTAATGCCTGTCTGTCGTGATCTGTAAAGAACAAATGGATCTTGCAGCATGTGAGTCCCTTGTGAGAGCCATATCTCAACTACACTAGTATCTGGCACAGCACAGGCTTATATCATAATTAGCAGGATCTAGTAATTAGATCCACTAATAGATCTGCAAATTGTTACCTGTCTTCTTATAACAGCCCTGTTATCCTTGTTGAGGTCTTGTCTGCTTTACGCAAGTGTGAGCCTGGATCAGCTCATATTTAGTAAGGGTAAGTTGTGAACACACTACAACACTGAAATTTAACACTGTCCTTTCTTACTGAAAGGTGTTATAAGCTCTGAGGGGGTTTATAGCCTTTTGGATAGTTCAGCTATTCAGATGTGTGTAAGTAAGGAAGGAGTTTTGCACTGATGATTAAAAAATACTGTGGTGAAAACTAATTCATGTCAATTTATGTTTAGAAATGAGTTATGATTTTCTTTTTTCTGTGAAAATTTAATTTTGTGAGATGCTGACATACCTAATAGACTTGATTTAAGAAGCTGGATATCTTAAAAGGGAAAAAAGTCATATAGTGTAGCTTTCCTTTAAGAACTTTTCTGTCGGCCTTTAGGTTCTTGATTGCATTAAATGTGCTATGAAGAACAACACCAACCTTGTTATTTTAGAGCACAGTACTTGCCCCTGAGATGGAACAAGATACTGATGGTATAACACCAAGCAGTTTGTTTCTGTCTGTGCTTTAGTGAAAGATGACACAGCCACCCAAATGCATTGTGTAAAATCTCTGATTTCTGCAGGCATGTGCATGGGCTGCAGGCGACGGGCTTGTCACTTGTCTGGTAAGTGTTACAGGGGACAGAGCTGGACTCTGCCTCTACTGCTCATTGCCTCAGAGCTGTGCCTCGCATGAAGATTTTCCCAGAAAGGATTCAGGTTTATAGACCTTTATTCTTGTTGCAGCAAGCACTTGTATGCTTGCCTGCTCGACATAGTGTGGTATTGAAGGTAACACTTGCAAAGAGCCCCTGTGAACTGCATTTGTTAGAGATGTGTTTATTTTTGGAAGCTCTATGATTACTTTCTTGGAAAATGATTTTTTGCCTGGATAATTTGATAAAATTAAAATCTTGCTTCACAATTTACCAGCAGTAGAGAACTTCCCTTGCCTCTTGGCTAGCTCAGTAGGCATTTTGGCTCCTTTTGGCTCTCTTTGTACACTATCTTGCTCTGGGTCTAAAACTCATTACACTATCCTGTTTGATACAGAAGGACCCTGGTGACATCGTGATAAACTCTTCCTTTTCCCTCATACTCTTCATTAGGCACGTGCTCTTGGACATTTAAAGCTCACCAGTGTGTGCCTTCAAGCCAAAATTATTGCAATTTACAAGGATTACTACATAGCTCTTCCTGTTTGGAGGGGACAGGATCTCATGTTCAGGATACGTAGTCTGTGGTGGGCAAGCAGAGGGGGTCCAGAGATCCAACCTCTGGAAGAAGGTGAATTCCCAGTGGCCCAGAAGGTTCATTGAGGACAAGGGAGCTTCTTCAGCACTGAGTGTTTGGAAACACAGGAAATATGGGAGAACCTGAGGGAATCCAGTGTGCTGCAAGGTCCTGTGGGGCACTGCCCCAGCGCTGGGAGGGCCAAGGCGGCAGGAGGAAGGTTTTGCTCATGGCACTGAGTGAGGTAAAATCAGTGTCTTTTTATGTCCAAGCTATTTCATAGTCCTGATATTTGGCTTGTAGTTTCATCACTTGTGCCTCGTCAGGTAGGCAGGCACTAGGCTCGAGGGCACATTTTGGCCTTCTGACAGAGTAATCCTGCTGTATTACACAGGAGGGGAAACTGAAGGGAGGGCAGATGCAGATTGGATTCCTCGGGCATCTCCTTTCTTGCTTGGAAGTTGAAAGGGAACAGAGGCTGGTAGGAGTGGGGCCCTCGGGCTACTTCTTAGGAGATGAGGGTGGTAATTTTGTGGCCAGAGGAATTTGTAGCTCTTAACTGTAGAGGCAGCGGCACATGAGAGCTGGGCTAACTGAGCTGCAGAACGAGGTACCCAGCAGAACGGAGGGGCAGTGAATGGTGCCGGTGAAGGCTGGACTTGCTCCTCCTGTGAGGGGCTGCTGGAACTGGAAGCACAAACGTAAGGCGGCAGCAGCGGGAAGCTATGCGAACGTGCAGGGAGCTCCGGGGAGAGGAGGCAGCTCGTGGGCAGTGGGAACCCAGAGCTCCTCGTAATGGGGCTGGCAGCAAGCGCGAGGCGAAGGTGGCATCTTCAGAGCATTTTACCTGACACGACGCATGTCCTGGTAGTAGCTGCAGAGGGTTTTGTTTGTTTGCTTTTCTTCAGAAAAATACACAGTGTGATTTGTCATTCAAGCAGTTTTGACCTTGTCCAGCCAGATGTTGGGTCTTAATGTTAACATTGATATTAACTAATGACTGATCTCTATAAGGCTCAATGACCAGAGCTGGGCTCCAGATGGTAAAGGTTAGTTAAGAGCCATATGTTGAATGTACATCTACTTCCATTGCCTTCTGCCTTCTTTCCTTGTGTTTGCAGCACTGCACTATAGCCTAATGGATTCTGCAGGCTTGATGACTGGGTCTTTCCCATTAAAGTGGGGAAGGGGCCTCAAATTCCTGCAAGCTGAGGAGGAAACGGGCTGTTAGGCACAGATCAAGCTGAGCTCTCTCTATGCTCATAAAAGCTGGAAACCGTGGATGTTACTCTTAGGTGCATAACCTTTCCTGGTGAATCCCTGAATGGCTGCGGTTGGAAGGGACCTCTAGAGACCATCTAGTCCAACCCCCCTGCTCCAGCAGGGACACCCAGAGCACGGAGCACAGGGCGGCATCCAGGCGGGTTTGTAAGATCTCCAGAGTCTCCCTGGGCAGCCTGTTCCAGGGCTCTGTCACCCTCACAGTCAAGAAGCCCCTCCTCACGTGGAGATGGAACTTCCTATGTTTCAATTTGCACCCATTACCCCTTGTCCTGTCAGTGACCACCTCTGACAAGAGTTTGGCTTGTCAAATAATGGAGAAAGACTTTTATTTTTCCCATGATCTGTCTCAAAATGAAATGCTAAGACTTTTCACAAACAAAAGTGTTTTTTTTTTTTTTTTTTTTTTTTTTTTTTTTTTTTTTTTTTAAATCTCATCCTGGCTAATACCATTCCCATCCTTGCTTAAATCTGATCCACCCACTTCCTCTGCTAGTTTGTTGCTGAGTGCCATCTGTCAGCTTTCTGGTCAAGCTTTATAGCTCTTTGTGGATAAGACTGATTTACTGTGTACATAAAGCTACTATGAAACCAGGATAAATAGAAAGTAAGTGCATTGAATAGCAATGAATCAAAGCAAAGTAGGTTATTGAAGACGTCTTTAGGAAGAAATAGTGCCACTCTATTGGCTTTGCTTCCCTACAGAGGAAGAAAATGGGAATAAATTTCATATTGCATTCTGCCTCTCTCAATTAGCTGTCACCAGTTAAAGATTTCCTGTGTGGGAGCAAATTCACAGTAGTCGCCACATAACAAAGATAAATTCTGTCCATTCACTTCAGCAGATGCAGTGCTTCAGGATTTAACTCTCGGGATATAACTTCTGTACTGTAAAATTCTTTCTCACTAATGTGGGAATTTGAGAAATGTAGCCATTCTTCTTGCGACTCCTAATAGGTCGATTGACATTTAATCACGATTTCCTTTCTCTTTTGAGAGAAATCCACTATTATGTAGATCTTTGAAGGAAAATTGCTTGACTTGTAGGTTCTGAAAGCCTTTTTGTTTGTTTGCTTTTTCAACAAATAACATATCTATTTGCAATGTTTAGGTTCCATGACATACCCAATTCCCCGGTCTTCAGACAGTAATGAAACCACAGTGTTTCTGAAAGACTGCAAGTAAAAAACACAGCTCTACTGACAGAGCACTCCAGGAAACCCTTGCTGGGCTTCTGTGCTCAAAAACGTGGGTTTTTTTTGTAACACTATTGCTTTGGAAGAATTCTCCCTTTGCTACAACATCGTGCTCCAGCATATAACATTTAATTTTGCCAAAATGTGCAGTCGGTTCTCAGCTCAAAGCAAAAGCTTGAAAACGTGGACTGTGTGTGAACCGCGCTGCTCAAATCCTCTTGGGTCTGCTGCAACCCGGAAGAAGTGGAAGATAACTCGAATCTGAACCAACTTCACTCAGTGCTGGTTTCACGTTATTTCCATGATAAGGAGCAGTGATTACCTGGGGGATAGAAGCCCAGCATTCATTCCAATTGGCCGACCTGTTTCTATGGCTGCAGAGTAGTATCTAAAGACTCAGCTGAAAATGTGCTTGAAGATGAGAAAGCAGCCTGTCCGTTGCATCCTTTCTTTGATCAAATCTGCTAGAGAAAAATGGAGTTCCAGGATACAGGTTTTGGGGGAGTGTTGATTAATAAGGTTGTAAAATATCCCTCTCCCCAAATAAAAAGAGAAAAAAAACCTTCCAAATTCATGTCTTACCAAATGTAAACTCCAGTTGCCTCTTGGTGGTTTTCTTTCTGCTTCTTTGTTTCTTTTTTGGTGCTTAGCAAAGCTTGCAAGTGCCCCAAAGCTTTATCAGAACGTCCCCAGTATCTTGGGAAGACTCGGGGAACCTGTGTGCACCCTGGGAGAAGCTGCCTTACCAATATGCACCTAAATGTGAAACATGAAAAAAAGAGCTGTAATTGTTTTGGTTACATGCTGTAAGGCCACCAAGGCCACTTCACCTCGCCTTTACTCAGAAATATCATCACACAAAACATTTACTAATTTATCACTATGGTTTTCTCTGTGGATTACCATTAGAAATAACACTGTCCTTTTTTTTTTTTTTTTTCTCCCCTGTGCTCTGCTAGCAGTAAAACATG